GATATCTTCAATTGCTAAAGAGAAGTGGATTAATTTTTTGACTGAGATGCATCAGGGTTTAGTGCACTTCTCATCCAGTGGATCCATCAAGGACGCTCCTGCCCTGTTGTTGCTGTGGTGCTTGGAGCCCTGGAACTGAAATCCTGATTGGCTGAGGAGCACAGAGGACAGCAGGACAGCAGGACAGCAGGACATCGGGACACCAGGACAGCAGGACAGCAGGACATTGGGACAGCAGGACATTGGGACAGCGGGTCAGCAGCACCCCAGGACACCAGGACAGGGAGGTCTGGGGGCAGCTGATCCCAGCTGGGGCAGGAGGAGCTGGCTGGGGCCATTCCCAGCTGCTCTTGTGGAGCTGTGTCAGAGGAGCCTTGGCACAGCCCCCAGGAAGGGCTCTTCCCTGCTCCAGAATGCCAATGGAATTATTCATCAGAAAATCCATTTTAAGTGCTGCCTCCAGTAGGGGTTTCCATGGAGACTGCTGACCTTGTAGGAACAGAAGCAGCCCCTGTCTGGGAATGGCTGTGCTGGGATGGGAACACAGCAGATCACAGCTGTGCCGGTCTCAGGCAGGCTTTATCCAGATGTGAGGGGTTTGGGATCAATTGTTTCCCTCTTCAGATAAATCCTTCATTTGCTGCACCCCTGAGGGTTGTGAGACAGCAGAGAAACTAAGGTGGGGAGCAGTGGCAAGAAGCATTGCAGCAAAGGGTGGGCAACAGGGCCTGGCCAATTTCCACAGAACTCTCTGGCCTGGAGTGCCAAAGGGTGAAATAACCTTAATTATGGCAGTAGATTCACCTGCCTGTGCCTGTGCCCACTGCATGGAGCTGGGAGCAGAGAATGGGCTCCCTGGAGGGGCAAATAATAATAATTATTACTTATTCTTAGAAATTCAAACTTGTTCTGTGTGCAGAGGAGAAATACCTTCTGTAGGAACTGGCATCTAAGAGCCCCCAAATCCCTCCCATGCCAAGTTAAGAGCACAAAAGTAAATAAAGCAGCCAGAGGTGGTGTTCAGCCAGCAGCTGCCATTCCAAACAGCCAGCCAGCCCAGGAGGAAGCTGGAGGCTCTCAGAACATGAGCCAGAAAGTGCATGGCAGGTCAGGGCCAGGAGCAGAGCCTCAGGAGGGCTGGGGGCAGTTCTGGATGCTGCAGAATTCAGCCAGAACAGCCCTCAGGTGGCCCCAGCCTGTAATTTAATTGATGCCAATTCACAGCAGCTCAGGATCTGCTTCCCAGTGCCTGGAGAGGAGGTTTTGAGAAGAGCTCTTTGCCAAGGATGGATTTCTGTACATGAGTGTTTACAAATGAGCTGCTGACCCCCCAGGCTTTAGAGATAGCCACAAATCCTGTTTCTCACAGAACCTCAGTCCCCCAGCCAGGCACAGCAGCCCTGAGCCCATGTTACAGGAGAAAAGGAAAATGCAGATTGCAGAAAGGGACATTTACAGTATCTGAGGTAAGTTCTGGCAAGACCAGGTAAGAAAGGCCTGAGGAGTTAAATGAACTGAAAAGGTATTTATGGGAAGGGAAGTAATCAGCTTTACAGAATGTAGAGGGGAGCAAGACCTGCGAACATATTTGATTGCCAGGAACAGAGCCCAGCTGCCTTTCACATCCCAGACAAACACAATTTGAGTTGCAATTGCTTTCATTTTATAGAAGCCACCATCTGTAGGGAGAGAAAGCAGAAGGTCAAAGTGGAGGTAACATAACCTCTTCCCTGTGCCAGTCCCAAAAATTAATCCTGCAAAAGCAGCAACCTGTAGACCATGTAGGAGGCAATTGCCTGCATTTTGTGACATCTGTTCTAGCTTCACCTGAATAGATAATGCCAGATAGGTGAAACAGAGAACTTAGGGGAATGACTGCTCAAGTGATGAAAAAGAAAATTGTTCTTAAAGGATTGTGGGAGGCACCTAGTGGTGGTGATGCACTTAAAGAATGTTAATTGCCAAATAGATAACTGGAATTTGAGAGTTTGAAATGTGCTTGTTTTTAAAGGCCATGAAAGGTCAGCTCTGAGTTCTTCCTTTCTCCCTGGGAAGGTGCAATGTCTCACAAATTATAGTACACAGAAAGAAAGTAGATCTGAGCTGTTTTGTGCTTCCCAGTGTGCATTTCTTGTGGTGTCATTACCGAGGCTGTTATCTGAAAAAATAGCTCTATTAAATGAAAAGCTCTGATATGGAGAAGCAGATTATCTCTCTCTCCTTGTTAAATTACTGCACTGATGCACAGCCAGAAGGGACTGTTTTTTTCTTGCAGTTAGATGCTCACAGGACCAAACATTTTCCTAATGAGAAGGCATTATTAAGAGTTGCTGTGCACAAGGTTTTGTTGCTGGCCATTATGAGCTGTGGACAATGTAAGGCAGCAGGGAGGTGTTCAGGAGTTTGCAGACACGTGTGAGCTCTGCAGGTGGGTTCCAGGGGGGAAACCTCACTGCTGCCTGAGAGCAAAGCTGCTGCAGGAGAATGCCTTGTGCTTGCCTCAGGCTGTGTTAGAGCTGCCTCAGGCATGGCTGTGCTGCTGTGCCAGCACTGTGGGGACCTGGTGACAGCCCTGAGCCCTGCCCCAGCCCCACAGCAAAGCTGTGCCTGCAGTGAGGGCTGGGCCGCGGCCTCCTCCTGGCCTGGGCCGCAGCCTCCTCCTGGCCTGGGCCGCAGCCTCCTCCTGGCCTGGGCCGCAGCCTCCTCCTGGCCTGGGCCGCAGCCTCCTCCTGGCCTGGGCCGCGGCCTCCTCCTGGCCTGGGCCGCGGCCTCCTCCAGGCCTGGGCCGCGGCCTCCTCCTGGCCTGGGCCGCCCGCTCCCTCCTGGCTCTAGGCTGAGGGTACTCTGAAAATAAAACTGATTTCAGAAGGTTGGTTGGTTGGAACTGCTGTGGATTCAAAGAGAAATTATTCATACAAGTGTGACGGTGGTCACAGGGTCTTAGGATGAGGGAAGAGACGTAAATTTGACTCCATGTTACAGAATGCTTGATTTATTATTTTATGATATATATTACATTAAAACTACACTAAAAGAATACAAGAAAAAGTTCTCAGAAGGCTAGCTAAGCTAAGAATAGAAAAGAGAGAATGAAAACAAAAGGCTGGGCCTTGATTGGCCATTAATTTTAAACATCTAAGATCGGCTAATCAAAAATCCACCTGATGCATTCCACAGCAGCAGATAACCATTGTTTACATTTTGTCTCTGAGGCCTCTCAGCTTCTCAGGAAGAAAAAATCTTAAGGGAAAGATTTTACATGAAAAGATGTCTGCAACATACAAGCAGCTTTTTTGAAGTCATGGCACAACTATTATCCTTTCTGTCCACTGAAATGCTCCTAAGTACTCCCCTGATTTTGGTTTTATTCCACATTTTCCTCCAGAATATTATGAGCATAAAATAAAGCTAGGGTTTAGCAATGGCAGTGCTGCTAATTGTGCTGCGGTTTTGGTGTGGTTTGTGTGTGTTTGTGTGTGTTTTGGTTTGGGGTTTTTTGTCTTGAACTGTTTTATGCTTTATTTTCTGTTTGTGAGTAGATATCAGCAGAACTTTAGCTTGGAGGATGCTTAAAGGGACACACTCAGTGCCCAAACAAGCCTGATTTTATTCAGTAACAACAGAAAATAACAGGGACAGGAGAAAATTTCAGTTTTGCCTTTGTTGTAGGTGAACGAGCAGCCCAAAGCAGCTCTGGGGAGCTCCCCTGAGCCAGCAGAGCTTCCATCAGAGCAGGGGTGGGTGGGTGAGGAGCCAGGGCAGAGCCCAGACGTCCCCTGGGACTCAGTGATTGTGCCCTGTGTCAGCACCTGGGCAGAATGCTGATGTCAGTGGTGCAGTTAGTGCTGTTATCAGCCTTGACAAGATGAAATATGGCCTCTGAATTCCAAGAACATATGGGATTATTGAGAAGGAAAATGGTGTGAACAAGGGCAATTATAGCAATAACTATCCATGACACACTACATGGAGCCAGCCAAGCATAACACAGATATAATGAAAATATTTTTAAAGGTAAACATGATGTAAGCCAGTGCCAAAATGATCTAATTTATTATTCTGTCATGAATGATAAATGTTAATAACCTCTGTGTTTCACAAAATAGCAAGAAGGCTTTCTTTTATGTATGACTTGCTATATGGTTTTAAAGGAGACAAAGGGAAGAAAGAGGATGAAAAACCTTTCTCATCTAAATTCTAATCTTTAATTTTTCAGCATATAATTGCTCCAGTTATTTTTGCACACCTCACCACACCTGCACACCTGTGCAGCACAGAGGAGGCAGCTGGCAGCCTGTTAATCACCACAGAACCAGCCCTGGCCTTGGGAAGGAGCTGCACCCTGTGAGGGAGCTCAGGAGATGGAGATGTGACGTTTCTGGGCTTGCATTCTCATTTTCAGATAAATGTAAGAGCAATAAAGCTTTCATACAAGAAGTATTATTTCAGATCCCATCCCTTCTGACCTGCTGTGGGCTGGAACAGTCCCAGAGCCAGAGCTTCAGGCAGGGCCTGGCCCTGGCTCTGCACGGAATGCCAGAGGCTCTCTCTCTGCTGGGGAAGCTCAGTGCAGCTATTCTCTATAAAAAATACCAGGTATAAAGTTTAACAGAAATATTGCCTGCACATCAGCAGGTCTCTCACAGGATGTGTAATTGCTCTGATGGATAATTGCAACAATAGCACTGACAGGGAACCTTCATTGTTATGCTGTTGTTTACAGCTCGTGTCAAAAGAATCATTTTAATAAATACAAAGTCCTTTTAGGAAATTAAGATTTCTTCTTTATTTGAGGGAGAAAAAAACAACAAAACGAAATTATTTTACTAATTACTGGCAAAGTCATTCTTGCTACATTACCTATTTTTAAAACTCACATTTCATTCAATTAAGATTTCATACTGTTGACAAAATGATGCTGTCCAAAAAAAAATATTGTAATAGCTGCTATATACAAGCCCATAAATAAACTGCAAGATTTTCAAGCTTCAAGAGACTGAGGACAGAAAGAGATTGTTTAAAGATTCATTTGAGCATTTCTTATTCAGTACATTTGCTGCATTCAGTACCAAGAAAACTCTTTGAATCAAACAAAAAGAATGGATATCCATGGCAAGGGAACACATTTGTGCTTGGTGGGGATTTTCACCAGTTTATCAAAACCAGGAGAAGCCCCATCCCCGATGCTGTGTGAGAAATTCAGTGCTCCAAACCTCAGGGGCCAAGAACAAGAGAAAACTGCTCCATCCCCAGCCCCTGCAGCCAGGGAGGACCCAGGGACACAGGGGGTGACCAGGGCTCCCTCACCACACTGCCCTGTCCCATTCTAGAGTATAAAACCAAACACATTTTCATGTTTGTCTTAATGGAGACACTGGGGAGGGTGACCAGGGCTCCCTCACCACACTGCCCTGTCCCATTCAAGAGTATAAAACAAACACCTTTTCATGCCTGTCTTAGTTTTGGTGAACAATTTTAAACCAGAGCACACCTGGATGAAAACCTGATGTAGCCCTTTGTACCACTGCTGTGTCTCCTGTTTGGGGATTTTTCCAAATGGACACAGGGCAGTCACAAAATGACCAATACAGCACAGGAGGAAATGTAGGTCATAAAAATTGTGCAGAGGGGAATACTCTTAAAAATTAGGCTTGAATTAAAAAAAAAAAAAAAGCTTTTATATGTTGTCTGGTTCATTCACAGAACTTTGTGCTATAATACAATGATTAGAAAATTATCAAGGAGGGTTTTAATCTGCATTTGTGGTCACAGTGTAAAACAACCAAAAGCAAACCAAAGAAACAAACCAAAACCAAAAGAACTCATATGGTCCAGTATAAAAATATGCTTAAATACATTGTCTGCACACAACACAAACTCTGACCACTGTTATCACAGTACTCCTCTATTCCATCTCCTCTGTACATTCCAAGGGCTCTGTCTACAGGGTCTTTTGGGGGAAAAAATAATTTTCAAGCCAAGAAAAGCCCATATATTTGCACAGCTGTAAGACAGAGCAGTGCAGAAAAGGCTAGGAGAAAACCATACAGAAAAGCCAAAATAAAGACACTGCCATCTGCATATTTAGCTTTTACTGAGCCTCTGTTTGGAGTTAGCTGTCAACCACTGGAGTTATTTAGCACTAGGATACATGAGATTAAAGCCTGTGGATTTAAATGTGTGATGTGCAGTTCTGCTGTGTTCCAGCTGCAGAAATCCAGCACAGACCTGGTGCAACTAAAATAATTTCTGTAGAATGTTCTGAGCTGTAAGCTTGGGTTGACTCTGGGCTTCCAGTTTGGGGATTACACCAACAGGTCTTGGCTGGGAAGGGGGAAAGGCAGGAAAGATTGGACCAAACTGACAGAGATCATTTTTTAGTGCAGGAAGGAAACAGGGACAAAACTTGGTTTGGATCAAACAGAAATTAAATGCATTGAGTTTTTCTAAACTTTAAATTACATGTCTTTTGGATTAAATACCTGGCTAAATTCAGACATAATTGGTGGGTTAAAGATCAATTTACTTTCATTTAACTTTTTGATAAATTTACTATGCAATAAAAAATTTCCACTCTGCACATTAGAGTGTAAATACCTTTTCTCTTGGAAACAAATAGCACATTCACTGGGACCAGGAATGGTCTGAGCTGCTGAATACACAAACATTTAATTAAGGTTAAAAAACCCCAGCATGAAACATCTTAGCAAGAGTCAAGGTTGAAGAGTTGCATATTTTCTGCCTGTTTGGGGTTTTTTTGCCTATTTTCCGCAGTACTTTGGCAGCCCAGGGGCTCAGGACAGTGAATTCCCTGCTGATGTCTGCGAGCAGGGCTAAGGCACAAGGGGACAGGAGCTGTGGCTGCAAAGCCACCCTGGGGAGGGCCTCACCTGGGGAATCCCTCTGGAGACCCTGGATGCTGAATAAACCCCAGAGCAGCCCCAGGGGCTGTGCCAGGGGTTAAACTCTGGTGCACAGCTAGGGTGGCCCTGCCCCGTGCTCCAAACACCACTCTAAAACCCACAAAACACTGCTCAGAATAAAAATTACAGTGTTTATTTCCTCCTTAAAGGTACTTCATAGCAGTACTAAAGCAGAAGCTGCTAAATGCTGAGCAGAGTCTGAAAGCACAAAAGAGACTGTTTAAAAGCTGTCTGCAGGAAACAATACACAGAGCTATTTGCAGGCTGGCTGCCTTCACAGTATATCAGTGTGTTACATCCTCGTGGCAGGAGTTCAGTGTCTCAAAACGACCAGAAAAAGGAGCAAGGTAAGTCACAGTGCCAGCTCTTGGCTCCTAGAGGCCACAGTGAGTTTGCAAAATGTATTCAACAGAGAGCTGTGGATTGCAGCCCCGAGCTGCAGGCAAAGCAGGGGAATAATTGAATAATTTGTATGGCAATACAGACACAGATCAGCAAGAGAGGTGCTGGGGGCTGCTCTAGGACCACCATAGCCAGTTTTGCCTCTGATGATAACGTGGCAAAAGGAAGAGCTAAAATACAAACAGGCCACATCCAGGAGATTTACACCTCACAGGTGCTGTTCATGTGTTTATCAGCTTTGCTCATCCACACCCACGTTGGGAGTGGGGAGCTGGAACCTGCTTCTCCCTCAAGTCCTGGCCTCCTTGTAGCATTTAGATAAACACCATAATACGTATTTGGAATCAACTTCACTTTGATAATTCTGCAAGGTAAAAAATGTAAACAGAGAGAGCGCAGCAAATCTGGAATAGTCTCATTACAACATTACAATGGGAAACATTTCATTTTAGAGCATAAAAACCCATCTTTTCAGAGGTATGTTGCTTTCCCTCAGTTCTGGGAGCTGGAATGATTCAGGGAACAATAAGCCCTCCTTGCATACCTTGCATAGTGTTTTCATCATTGCTGACAAAACCATCCAGTGTATATTTGTGCTGGTCATTTTTACAGATATTGCTAATGGCCAAGTGCTAGAACGTGTTACAGTTCTGAAGGCAAGCAACGAGGGCTATTTACTCAACAAAACAACGTGGCAATTCCCAATTCATTAGGCAGTGATTTAAACCCCAGTTTTGTGCTGTCACTGGCAGTGAGGAACAGCTGGTGGACACGGTGTGGAGGTCCTGATGTATGGCTTGGTTTTCTCTGAGGAGCTGCTGCTCCTGTCACACTGCTGATAAATCAATGCGGTTTGCTGAATTGCTGCTTTTATCCCAGGTGTTCAGCTTGGTGGGGGTTGTGCCTGGCCTGTTCCCACTCATCTGGAAAATAAAATAGTATAGAAAATCTATTTATTTATTTTGCCAAGCAACTCTTGCCTGGATGAAATCAAAGCTTGAAAGCATCTATTTACATTACAGTGTTGTCACAGGGTCTGGAGAGCATATGGCATAAAGGATTCCTAAACAGTTATTGCCAGGATCTGGGGTGATTGGCAACAATCACTTAATAATACCTATCACTTCAGATGTCTGGTTCCTTATAAAAACAAATGTCTTCTGTCTCAAGACAATCTAAGGAGAGCTGGAAAATGACATTCATGTGTTGGTTTAACAGTAAGAAAGCCCTACCAGAGAGCCACCATCATCAGAGCGATACACTGCCAAAATGCTGCCAAAATGCACAAGTCCATTGCAATTGGTGGGAATGGCCTTACTAACCATATCCAGAGCTCATAAAGCTGCTTGCTTTTATCCGATGGTTTCCCAGAAAGCAGAGTTTTGTCCTTTGCTTTCAAAACAGATATTACAGCTGCAACTTTGTGCTTGCTGGTTCCACCTGTCTGCACCTTGCATTAGGCTGGTACTAAAAACACCCATGGGCCTGCTCTGTTCTTTCCAACAGAATTTAATGGGAAACACTCTCAAGTACAGTAGGGGAAAAAAGGAGCAATACTTACAATGTCTGAATTGAAGGGCTTCACATTGATGTTGCGTGTTGAACTACTGGTGAGGGACCAGACCTTGGTTTTGTGCTTAAAGGCAGCTCTAACCTTTGGCAAAAACAGTGAAAGCAGCTGAAGAAGCTGTGTTTGTTTTCACAGGTGCAGCCTGCAATCATTTCCCCTTTTTCCTCCCTCCACACAAATGTCACTGTGCTATTAAACAACAAACAATCCCCCCCTACACTTTTCTTTGTCTTTATGGACTTTTCCCTGGGACACCTTCACATTTCCTGACTGCACACAGAGAACCAGGCTCTCCCTGGGCTGCACTGACAGTCCAGGTGGCACCAGGACAGAGAGCAGCTGCCAGCCTGCTGCAAAATTGGTCATTGAAAGGTGCTGGATGGAACTCCCTGGAGATGGAGCAGTATTCTCCACTAAGTGAAAATCAGCTGCAGAAAGCAGATGGTGAGACAAGGAGGTGAGACTGGTCAAGGACTGAGGCTGGAAGTGACTGGTGTGGAGATCAAGGGCATCTTGGCTCATTCTCCTGTAATTCTTTACAATACCAGTGCATTTCTGTATGGAAATAAAGCACTTTTTCACCCAGCCACTTCTACACCCAGTCCATAGATGTTTCTTTACAATATCGGGGTTTTACTTCCCAGAAAGAAATTCTCAAGAGTTCCTGCTGTCTAGCTAAAGGAGTATTTTAGATATGCACAGCCTGTGAAGGAGCCAGTAGGACCTGCTCTCCAAAAATAACAGCTCACATCAGCTGTGTGGTTTTTGAGGATAAAAATTCTGAAAACTTTCTGAATTTAATTTCTCATGAGGTTCCAGAAAAAACAAGCAATTCAAATATTTGTATTTGATCTAAAACATTTGAAACTTGACGATTTCTAAGCCTGGGGGAGAATAAAATAAAGAAATATTTTTCCTCCCTACCTTTAACCTGCTTGCTTAATTTTACTTGATTTCAATAAAGACCAAGAGATCCACAATCGGACCTGACTCTCCAAACTGATTTTGGCAGAGATCACATCAGTGAATGCTCTGGGCTGGAACAGGTTGGCACATATTAACAAATAATAATTTCTCTACAGAAGAGCTGGAGTGCTGCTGTTGCACAGAAGCAGCAGCAGGTTATGGGGCAGAGCTCCTCATGAGCATCCAGGACAAAACCTGTGCAGAGCCAAAGCTGCCAGGGTCTCCACTGGGCCCTGCCCTGGCTGCTCTGCAAATGGCTCTCAAAAAAACCATTTCTTTCAGCAATACTTGTGGCTGGGCATTTTCTGCTATCTGCCACGGGAGGAGACGATGCTGCAAGCCAAATTTACATCAGCCTTGTCTTGGCTTTATCCCAGCTGTTCTAATGAAGCCTTAATGCAAAAAATGCCTCAGTCCCCTACGAACACCTGAACTTCCTGCCAAGAAAAATACCTGGAATATCTTCTTCCCAGTAGGGCTTCCCATTAAGGACTGCATGGGCAACATCCAGAAGTGTGTTTTGCTGAGAATGATATTTATTTTCCTCACTGGGGCTGCAGCTGTACCAGAGCCCCCAGCAGGGACTGCCAGGGCGAGTCCTGCTCCCATTCTCCTGATCCCATTCAATCCTCTCCCCACAGTGCAGTCCTGCCTGCTCAGCCCCACAGCTCCAGCACAGCTTCCTCCTGACTCTTCAGCTGCTCCTCTTATCTTGGTTCTGTGCTTCAAACCTTCCTCTAATTAAATGCCAATTAAAACAAACGTCAAGCACAGGTAAAAATGCTGCAAGTCACGGAGCCAGAAGAGTCATGGACTAATTAAAAGAAAAAGGAACTCAGTGGCATAGCAGGCAATGATAGTGCAGAAAGTCTGTTCTTGCTTCACACTTATGTTCTTTGAATTTGGTAACACCGGATTTATTAACACCATTTGGTTACATACCTCTGAGTTCAGAAGACAGTGAAACAGGAACATGAAAAATCCCTGAAAACAGAAAAAAGGGACAAGGGTGAGGTCTGGCTGTGAAACACCAAATGTTTCATACTGTGTTTCTCTCAGTGTGTACAGAATAGGCATCAGGAGCTGGAGCACTGTAAATATCTGAGTGCACTAAACCAGAGTGTCCCAAGTGAAACAGGAGAAACAGCAGCACCGGGTTACTGTGGGGCTTCTCTGGAACTATTCCTGCAAAAGAACACCTCCTAAACTTTGCTGTACTAAAGGAAAAATCCGGCTGAAAATATGCAGAAATTCTTGTTTCATGACAACACAAGAACTTTTTGTTTGTGGTTGCAAAGACCAAGGAGAGGGAAATGCTCTCAGGGAAACACCAGATCAGGATTTTCCAGGTTAGAAAAGCAAGGTATTAGCACCAGGAGAATTTTCACAGCAGAATTTTGCTATCTTTGGCCTTTTAGTCCAATGCTAAGTGAAAAGTCCAATGCAAAGTGAAAATCCCCTTCCCTCACAAAGTAATTTTATTTTTCTGGCAGTAGTTTTCAGCACAAAGGGCCCTGTTTCACTATTTTTGTATCCACTGTGTGGTGTTTGTTTCCAATTAAAGAAAGGATTCACAGGAGATTGCTTTTCCCTCCTCTTTGTACCCGCTGCTTGGGAATGCCCTGTAACATGCCTATATACAGGTTATGCCTGTGCTGAAATGTCTGCTCAAAGCCAAGCAGATGTTTACATTCCTCCTCGGACAGAGCTGCTTTTCTGGGTTGCAGTGCCAAGGAGATGAGGGCTGAGTTTCCTGCATGCAGGAGTTCTGTACTGCACAGGGAATAGCTCCACTTTTGATCTTTCCCATAAACTTCTGTTTGCTTTCATTTAGTCTCAGTAATGAAGCCTCAAATTGGCATTGAAAAATTGGCCTGGTATCTCTACAGAAGAATCCTGCCTGTGGTAGACAGTGCTGCAAGAATGAATTTCATTTCATTTCTGAGGCTCAGTGCTGTCTCATTTATTTAATTATTGCTACTGGAAACTCTAAGGAGTGGGATACAAGTTCTGTTCAAACAAAGACAAGCAATTGCCAGCACTCCGTGCTTAGCACAGACTTAAAAGACAGAGGAAGGAACACAGGAAAAAATGCAATAAACATAAACATGTGAAGACATTACTAATGAGCCATTTAATTGGATCTCAGAAGCACTTCTGTAGCCATAGATTTCCCCACCAGGTACTTACCTGTAGTGAATTAAAAACAGCAAATATGTACTGAAATACTAAAGCGTGGGCATTGACAGCCAAAATGCCAAATATCCACGAGCTCCCCAGGATTGGTAAGAGAACAGCCACGGCTTTAGCTGTTAGTCTGTGGGAGAAAATGAACACAGGAAATTGTGGTGAGACCATTAAAGAAATGTCAGCCTCCACACCAAGGAGTTTATCAATTATGTTCTGGCAGCAAGGCAGCAGGCAGAACTCTTCTTTACTATAAAATTCTTTTAATGGGAAAGATTTTAATTATTTTTTCATCTGTGGAAAGGGGGATAACAGAACTTGGTATCACACAGGATAAATACAGGTGGTGAGTCATGAGCTGAGGGAGCAGGGAAAGAGATCTGAGAGATGATGATAAAAACACATAAAACCAGGGCAGGCAGGTCCTCAGTTCACAGAGAGGTTTGTAGTGGGCAGCCAAGGGCAGGAGTCAAAGGGCAGTGAGTGCTGCACATCCCAGCCCACACACAGACACAGCCTGTCCAGCCTGAGATCAGCCAGAACACTCACCAGCACAGGGGCAAAGCACGCTGCTATCATGGCATTGCCAAAGAGCCAGCAGAAATCCACCTGTGCACACTCAGAACACTCCTCAGGCCAGGGACAAACCACCCTGCTGTCATGGCATTGCCAAAGAGCCAGCAGAAATCCACCTGTGCACACTCAGAACACTCCTCAGGCCAGGGACAAACCACCCTGCTGTCATGGCATTGCCAAAGAGCCAGCAGCAATCCACCTGTGCGCACCCAGAACACTCACCAGGACAGGGGCAAAGCACCCTGCCACAGAGGCACAGCTAGAGAGCCGGCAGCAATCCACCTGCAGGAGCAGCAGGTGAACCTGTGCATACCCAGAACACTCACCAGCACAGGGGCAAACCACCCTGCTGTCATGGCATTGCCAAAGAGCCATCAGAAATCCACCTGTGCACACCCAGAACACTCACCGGACAGGGGCACTGCTACAGAGCCAGCAGCAATCCCACCTGCAGGAGCAGATGAACCTGTGCACACCCAGGCACATTTTCAGTGCCAGCCCTCAAGGGACAAACTGCTCCTCCTGGCCAGCAGAGAACAATTCAGCAGGAAAAGCACAAAGAAAGGACCAGTCCCCACCTGGAACATGTGCCAAGAAGGCAGATCTGATCCAGCTTCTACAAACACTTGGTGAGCTCCTGTGGTAGCCCGTGGGATTCATGCAGATTGATCAAATTAAGTGTTTAAAATATCAGTTAATTCAGTCCATGGTGCAGTTACAGATAGAGAAGCCATGGGGCAGAAAAGAAACAGGAGTGGTCAGGAACTAAAAGTCAGTCCCTGCTTGCTAAAACCATGTTTTTCAGAAATGACCAGATTTCTATTTAGATGGGAACCTATGCAAGAAAATAAAAGCTGTTTCAGGGAGATTAATGTCCTACTTGTGCCTTGTGCCCCCTTGTACAGATTAAAGCACACATTGAGAGAAATGCACAGAGCTGCCTGACAGGAGACTGCTTGTAATTACAGCAAACACAAAACAAATTATATTTTTGTACAGCACAATTCAATGAAGAAATCTTTTAATTAAACTTAGAGACAAGATGTCTTGTTCATTTCAGTGACCTGAGCACACACTTCATTATATCCTCAACTAAAAGTGTGTCATGAAGTTTATACGGAAATCTGGGACAGGGAAGCATCTAGATATTTTTTTTCTGTTCTGGTTTGGGTTTTTTTCTGTATTGATTCATATCTCTGTATGCTCAGCCATGAATATTTCTGCACAATTCAATCTAATTCTTCAAGGAATTTTTTCAGTCAGAAAACGAAGGAACGTCTTAAAGCTTGAGGTCCTATTTAAATTTTAAAGTGCGTTTTAAAAGACACAATTTTTAAACAACTTACACAAGTTTATTTTTGTGAATCAAAGATGCTCTGGGTTGTTTTTTTTTTCTCTCTGATAGGATTAAAGATCCTCCCCAGACTCTAAGATGAAATATGCTGCACTGGGGAGCTGCCAGCAGAATAGCTCCTGCCATGGTCTTTGTGCAGGAAAAGCTGTGAAATGGCACTGAGCACCCAGGAAAATGCAGAGTGCAGGATCAGGGGCTGGGCAGGCCAGGAACACCTGGGGATGGATCCAGACCCTGGGAGGGTTCAGGTGTGTGAACACCTGGGGATGGATCAGGGACATCCAGAGCCCAGGATGAGTTCAGGTGCTCAAACACCTGGAGATGGATCAGCGACATCCAGATCCCAGGAAGGTTCAGAGTTTAACCCTCTGCATCCTGAACCATCAGGGACTGGCACACCCAGCACAGCTCCACCTGTAAAACTCCCTTCGCCACAAACCACCTCGTTTTCTTTTCCCCTTTTGTTCTCACACTCTCTGGTTTAATAAAAATTTCAGTTTGGAATATAATTTTCCCCCAAGTATTTTGTTGCCAAAAATGTTATCATGGTTTCCCTTTGAGTCAGAGCATAAAGGGCTTCATCTGATTTGTAGCTGGGGGCAGAATAGTCAGGCAGTCAATTTTCAATATTTTCAAAACCATTCTTACAGTTTGGATTTCCAGAAGCCTTTAATATTGCAAATTACTCATATAATTTTAAAAATCACATTTAAATAAAGATAGCTTCCCATGAAGCCCAAAGTTCAGCACATGTGCAGCAGAATTCCATAGCTAAAATGAAAATACAATCCAGATGTGGAATTTTCCATGCTAGAGTATTAATGTTTCATGCACACTCATTTAGAAAAGCAGCCATGCAAAGGTGAAATTTGTTCAAGACTGAGGGTCAGCTCTGCCTAAGATTCTCTTAAATCTCAGTAAGAATCTTTTTTTGTTTTCCCCTAGTTATTGCACAGCCTTCTATGCTATTTGGCATTTCATCCTGCGTAAGAAATTATTAATTCAAGGTGTTTATGGGCTTTACCTACCAATCAAAGGACCCAGCTCTACGGTTCCTGGAGCTCTTTTGTCTTCTCCCACTTACCCCTCCCCTTCCTACCCTTATTCCTCTTTAATCTTTTAACTTTAAAAAAGAAAAATACTAACTGTAAAATGCTGCTTCAGAATGCCATTAGGTAGCAAGGTTAAAAAAACCCGAGAAATACAAAAGTTAATGTTCCACTAGGTGCATTAATTCTGACACGCTGCACATACTTAATCTTTTCTTTTTATTCCAGTTTTCCTTTGGTACATGAATATTTTAGTAGATTAGTTCTAGTACACTAAGATATAGAGCACAATCAAATAGAAGCTTTTGGAGAAGGAATACTTCCCCATGCATGACTTATGCTGTGCAACCTAAAAAAACCCAGTCCCTAGCATCAATGGAGCTTTATATTGTCCATGAAAGTGGTGACATGAAGCACTAATTTGGGGCAGGGGCTGTGCTTACTCTGCAGGTACTGTGGTTCAGCCCCACCAGGAGTTCAGAAACCTTGCTAGAAGCTTCTTTCTTGTGCCCAAATGTGTCAGAAAACAGAACAGCCATCAAATGCCTCCTGAGTGCCCCTTCTCATGCCCTGGCAATTACCAGCCTCACAAAATTAACAGCCTCAAATTAACAGTTTCCCACATGCACTTTCAAAGCTCAGATACTGCCATTTTCTGCAGTCCAATAGCACCAAGTTCAGTCAGATTTTGTCTCTCTGCATCTAAACACACTGATGGATCAGTCCTGGAATGAATTCATGGGGAACAAAGCAAATCCAGCACAGAATCCCCTTTCTATCATCACATTTTGCCTAGTTGTTGGTTTTGGCGTTTTTTGTAAAAAAAAAAAATATTGTCATTACTTAGCTTCTGGAAAACATAAAAACACTTAGAGTCTGATTTAATTTTTATATCTGGAGCACCTGGAGAAGCCTTTGGGGTGTGAGTATCTGCACAGAGCCTACCTGTGAGTTCAGGCTGTGGTCTGGGGCTGCTACACCCTGCCCCAAAACCCCTTGGGCTGGCAGGGGCTGATGGAGCTGCACTCACCCAGCGCCAAAACGGGCTGTGGCAGGGCCTGGGGAGCCCTGGGAGCCCAGGAACACCCTGCAGGTGTGACAGGTGATGCCTGCAGGTGAGCCAGGTAATGCCTGCAGCTGTGCCAGGTGATGCCCTGCAGCTGTGCCAGGTAACACCCTGCAGGTGAGCCAGGTGATGCCTGCAGGTGTGCCAGGTAACGCCCTGCAGCTGTGCCAGGTCCTGGCAGCTCAGGCAATGCCCTGCAGGTGTGCCAGGTCCTGGCAGCTCAGATGCTGTCCCACTCACTGAGCACTCGTGGCTGAGCCCCTCTGGCAGACAGCCAGAGCCCAGTTCCTTTGAAAGGCCTCAATCAATTTTTCAGACACAGGAACAGCATTCACTCCCTCCATTAATTGCTAAGCTGTCCATTTAACATCCACTCACCCTTTCAATCTCCAGTTGAAAAAAAAAGATGCTTTCCTTCCCTTTTCCTGTTCTTGGGGTTGAATTCTGTTTCCTGAGAAGTAAAACCTTCTTGACAGAGCTCTCTTCCCATCCACACAGCCCCACTGAGCTGTGACCGTCCCTATCCCACAGCTCATGCCTGCCCTGAGCACACTGCCCACATTTACACCAGTGCAGAACAACCACACTGACACCTCACAAGAGAGAAATTTCTCTGCTTGCAGAAGGAAAACTTTATGACTTCTGTGAAGGGGGCCCTAATTCACAAATCAATTTTATTGGTTCTATATGGAGCACTAATCCTTTCAAGACTTCTGACACCCACTTTCCTGTCGTGATGCCTGCTGAAGCAAGAACTAAATTCAGACTCCATAAGCCAAGATTATATAATCATTGGAGGAAATACTGTCTAACAAAAAGCAAAATTCCTTCACCACAATTCAGAGAACAAGACAGGTCTTTTAACTAAAGTTTCTCTCGTTTCTTGAGCTCCTCTCTAGTCACCTCCAGCAGTACCCTTTGTGTTTTATTTAAAAATAAATAAATCCCCAAACCTGTGACTAACATTTCAGACTCGTGACTGAGAAAAGAATAATTTAATTGCAGTTTCCTGTTTGTTCCAGCACGTGCTGCAGGTGCTGCGGGTGCTGCAGGGCTGAGCTGCCACCAACAGCAAAAGGACAAAA